CTGAAGAATTTTTCCCATTGTTAGCAATTAACGTAATGAATAGTGATGAGCATTTTAAATTACGTATCGCAAATAGTAGAATTGCGCAATTCTTTTGCGCGCTTACGTGTTTCAAACCCTTGTGTTTAATAAGACTGTTGTGAAATTGTAAAACGAGAATCGTTTTGGAATCAATTAAAAATTTGTGTTACGAAACATCGAACCAATAGGATTTTATTACAATATATTTTGTTTACATGAATACCTTTGAAGAGTCAATTTTTAGTGACAGTCCTGAAGAGTCAAGTTTAGTTTGGTCAGAATACATTATGTAATTGAGTAAATTAGAATTCAAAATAAATAGGGTATTTGTTTATTAATATACACTAACTAGCTGACCAGGCAAACGTTGTTTTGCCATATAAATTATTTGTAGGGTAGAAAAAAATGTTTGGGGTCGACCACCCTTAACTTTAGGGGGATGAAAAATAGATGTTGTCCGATTCTCAACTGGCCGATATGCATACAAAATTTCACGAAAATCGGTCGAGTTCTTTCGGAGAAGTTCAATTAAAAACACCGTGACACGAGAATTTTATATATTAGATAATACATCCACTCATAAATATCCAGCCGGGAAAATAAATCAGACAGAATCTCTCCGGTAATCTATTTAATACATTATTTGTAATTGCTAAATTTCTCATTTTTAGATCATGTCTAATGTCCATGTCACGCCAATACCGGTTGTTGTTGGGAGCACTGAGCTCGAAGTTGTTGACGAGTACATTTACCTAGGACAGTTAGTCCGGCTAGGTAAGTCCAACTTCGACGCAGAGGTCAATCGGCGAATCCAACTCGGATGGGCAGCGTTCGGGAAACTACGGCAAATCTTCTCGTCAAATATACCTCAATGTTTGAAGACTAAAGTCTTCAATCAATGTGTGTTGCCAGTGATGACCTACGGAACCGAGACGTGGTCCTTCACTGCTGGCCGTATGAGGAAGCTCAAAGTCGCTCAGCGAGCTATGGAGCGGGCTATGCTCGGTATTTCTCTGCGTGATAGAGTTCGTAACGAAGACATCCGCAGTAGAACTAAGGTGACCGACATAGCTCAGAGGATTAGTAAGCTGAAGTGGCGATGGACCGGCCATATAGCTCGTAGAACCGATAACCGTTGGGGAAGAAAGGTTCTCGAGTGGCAGCCTCGTACTGGCCATCGCTGTGTGGGACGACCCCCCACTAGATGGAGTGACGACCTGTGCAAATGTGCGGGAAGTCGATGGATGCAGGTGGCTCAGGATCGTACTTCGTGGCAGTCTATGGGGGAGGCCTATGTTCAGCAGTGGACTCAAACAGGCTGAAATGATGATGATGATGAAATTTCTCAATGGTTATACCAAATCCATAAAATGGTATGAAGATTGAAGTGAAGTAGAGTAAAAGTAAAACAGGAGGCTTGAGGGTAGAGTATCGTTCTTCATCACATTTTTAATCAAGATTAGGAAATCCTAATTAAAAATACTAGACTTAAACTTTTTTAAATAGTGTACTTTATTCTTCTTGAAATTATACATTTAACCGAGTTACTCAAGTTTAGTCCATCGAACTCAAAAGAGAAAGAAAAATTTAAGAATACTGGAGACAATAAAACGATACCTTGACTGGAATCACGGCTCGTATCACTAAATACAATGGTTTAAAACAAAGTAAGTATCGGCCTGTTCAAACATTATCAACCGACGTTAATTAGACAATAGAATGGTACTTTATTATAATTGTAATTGTGTTATCCTTTACATAGCTGCTAATTGTCCGTAAATATTTCGCATGATTTATTATCATGGTTTGTGAACCTCACTAAGCTTGTGAACAACGCATGAATTGTTTCTCAACTGTGAACATTTTTATGGTATCATTTAAATTGTCCGGTGAAGCGTTCATTCGATCATTGAACCATGGATATGAAAAATTAGGACAATGTCAGTCAGCTCCTCAAGTTCAATGCCATAGCAGTGGTTGTTTGTTTTTTACAAATGACTATAGAATCTTTCAATTAATATGTAAGAACTAAAGATGATAATTTTATCAAATAATTACTGAAGTCTTTTCTACAACACTCTCCATGGATACAATTGACTAGGTAGGACTAATGTTCTAATGAATAATCACACGGGATTTATTTTACGTTTGTACGAGTTTTTATACTTGTCATAAATTTTTGTCATTAAATTAAACGACTTTTGCTATCGATGGGATAATAATCAAAATATCTAATTACTCCCGGGAGGCATCCAAAGTAATGTGAGAATTACAGTGCAAGACTCACATTACTTTGTACTTCGACCTACTGAAATCCATTCCGATGGATATTGCAGTTAGATGGGGATCTGTGATCGCAATGCGTCACAACACACTCGTGACTCGCTACACACACCCTAAGCTCATCCATGGAGAGAGACACGATATTTCCCTCAGCGTCCACCTTCAGCTGGCATCAAGGAACTACAGCTACGGTGTTAGGGCAACGCAGCAGCCTCGGCTGTTGCACGAATGGGCAGGCTCGTCCGGGTAAGTACCACGACCTCACAGAAGAGCGACGTAAAGTGGAAGTATAATACTTTAGCGTTTCGTCTGTTGAGTGAGGTGGCCGGGGCCCACATTATTAAGAGGTTGCAACGCATCTGCAACCCTACGGATGTTGCATATGTACATGGGCAAGCGGTTATCACTTAACATCAGGTGAACCGCCAGCTCGTTTGTCACTTTCTCACATAAAAAAATATCATGTTTCATTATGATGTTATATTCCTAACGTATCACACCCTTTCTATTGTTCATGGTCACGGGACAGACGTGAGTTGTTTCACTTCCTATTGTCATATTTAACCCGAGCTTCCGTCAATTATTTTATCAATTAATTTAATCCGATCTGCGAACAAGGAGCTTATGGTACCTTCAGTGTTGGTGTGCTTGGTTTTGTTTCACAAATTATTGGAAGCTGATAAACGCTGACCATTTTCTCAATTACACATAGGACGTTTCTTTGGTTTAATAATCTTGCGAAGATCCTTTTGAAGAACAGGTGTTCGTTTGCAAGAATTTGAGGTTTGTCGAATCTAATATATCTGAATAGAGCAATAAGTATTTGACAAATTTGAGAATAATTTTCATATCATTTATGTTTTTAAAATTTTTAAAACCTTCAATAACTGCTGTTTAAGGCCGTTTCTCGATTTTGAATAGTAAATTTTAGCAATAATTCGATTTATCTTGCCGTCAATTTCCGATGTATACGATAGCAGCAAATCGCCCAGTGCCCATATCGTTTATGCAAATGATCACGAATTACCTGTACACTGAACCTATATCCAACCGACATATGTCGTGTCTGCCAACGTCGAGACATGTTGACCATAGATTACATAATATTTACAATTCGTCCATACTAATCGATATACCTATAAAACGAATGCGACTTTATGTAATGTTTTAGATTTAGAATCTTGTTAATAATATAAATATTGGCCCCTTAATAGAATTCCATATTTTAATATAACACTACAATTGAAATAAAAAATATTTATATGACTTTTAAAAAAACCAACTGCGGTGATAATTGAAGGATTGTTGTACAAATTTCACATATTAGTTGATTTGTTTTCAAACAAATTGTTATATTGTATGATATATAAAGCTTCCATCCAATCAAATCCAATTGTTTCTCCTAAGATAAAAAAGAATTCCTAAAGCACATTGATTTCAATTTTACAACCGTACACATTTCCTTAACCGCTGACTAAACAGCAATAAAAACGAAATTAACTTTAAAGGGAATTTTTGTACGGACTTGTGAAATAATTGTTTAGTCTCTTAATAAGAAGCCTGTTGTATAAAACCAGATAGGTTACCTGGTACTCGAAAGCGGTTCAGCCCGGCTTTGATAATTTAGTATGGTGAGTAAACTTCAAATCCGCTCTTCGTAGTTAATATATAAGCAATATCAATTTCATAAGCATAAAACTTACTAAAGCGAAGCCGACGTGCTCATTTCCATTAGAGTTAATATTAATTATTTTCGTTTGTCACACAAGCTTACGTATGGCGGTGCATTAACACGGGGGCGTTCACCTTCGCGGCCAGACCAACGGATATGCGGAAGTAACATGCGTGAAACGCGCACTCGACCGCTATGTCGTGACAGGACCATTTTTACGTGCCAATATCCGTAGTGTCCTTATATCAGCCTGGCGAGCCAGACGGCGAAACAGATACCGAGAAAACCGATAATCTTTCATCGTTCTCTCAGCTTATAGACTATTGAGTAAGTTCGATTAGGCATTATTACCGCGTTGAAATAACGTAAACATGAAATCGATACACTTAAGGAGCAATATAGGCCTATGCAATGGATATATGTCGCGGTCCTTTACAAATAAGCGATTGACTGTCGCGTTAGAAGCAAACCCGTTGGCATTGTAATGTGGAGCAAGTCGGATCTCCTAGCGATGATACGTGCTGTGGAGTGCGATGCCGATTAGTTCGCTGGTCCACTTCCCGCGGCGTGACGGAGGTCGCGTCTCGCGCTGTCCTATATAACGTGACCACGGCGCATTATTGCTTATAACCGGGCCCAAGCTCACGCCGCCAACACCACGCATCCACGGAACCTCTCAGTTGTCCAGTACGTGAAGTACGTAAACCGCATGCTCCGTACCAATCGTGTATATCGGTTATACTGTCAAGGTCGCGGCGATTGGCCAACCACCGCGGCCGCGCGATTCGATTCTCGAGTGTGATTTACGCCGAGAATTGCCGATTTACCCGTAGTGCTGTACGGCGACATTGACGGTAATTGTCGAGTACCACCACCGTGCGTTTGCTTTGCAGCGGGTGCGGCGCCTACCAGCGACGCTCGATCGTCAGTCTGCGCGTACACACCGCCGCTAGGCTACAGCGCTCGCCGCGGTACCACGTTTACCGAAACGAACAACAGGCAACACAGCACGTGCCCGCACAAAATGAACAGCTACATCACTATCGTAAGTTGGCGCTGATTAATAAATAACACATCCCTCACGTTGAGTTAGTTTGCTAGTCCATTTAGGAATTTTCAGTATGAAAAATTCCTAAATGGTTCCAGTACAAGTACGAAAAATAGGTTTCATCAACTGTAACTACAATAGATCCTGGGCCTTAAGTTATATACTTTTATTAATTTAGTTTGATTTCTAAATTCTCTTTACGAGTTGTTACAGAATATTTTTTGTGACGGCATAATAACATAACATTAGCAGGTTAACTTAAAAAAGGGCCAAAAAATATTAATAAAAACAGAAATTTCCTGATTGCTTAATTTGAATTTAATTTAGTATTTTTTATGATGAAACTAATAGAGATATAACCTTTTTACGCAATACGAAAGATTTATTTCGACATTTGTTTGGTTGAGTATATTTTAAATGCTTAAAAAATTGTGGTTTAGTATATTGTAGTATATCACAAATTGTGATTAATAAATTATAAAATTTATCACAATTCGATATTTAAGAAAAGATAAAAAAAACTAAAAACTTGTGTTAATAATGGTTTCCACTATTTCGTAATATAAAATGTTTATTTTACTAGGTAGTTCATAAAAAAATGTCAAGTAACTTAGTGGGCAAAATGAAAATCTTAAGTGAATTCTTTGTTTAATTATTTACACATAATCAGTCACACAAATCTATTCGAGTGTGTGAGTACCTAAAAGTTACTTATTTATAATGTAAAAATCTATCAATGCATCTGCAGTCATCTTCTAGACATCGTGTTAAAAATATGATATTTAAATCATTCTTCTTTATTTACATTTTTAACCTTAAAGTACACGTTTAATTTTATAAATCTTCCTTAAGTGGAAAAACGGATCGGAGATCACTCGGTAAACAGTACGTACACAAATTGTAGTTAGTCGTGACTTGGCAATAAAACTGGTTATTTAGTACAAATTTCTTAATTTAACCGTATTGTATAGTGATATGGGCACATTATTCTAAATGCACTTCTTGCTTTATTGCCACAAATGTTTGTTTCGAGCTTTGTTGTGATGATACTATTCAGGTATTTACTAATTTTAAATGACAGTCTAGTTAAATAGTCATACATTAAATATATCCTGAAATTTAATCATCTATAATTGGTATTCCGTTATCAAATACTATCTAAATATGTACTTTTTATTACTTTAAAATGTCAATCTTCCATTTATAATTTTATTACTCACTCATAATTAAAATGCTTTATAATCTTGTGAAGTCATCGGCTTATCTAATACAATAACATTAACAAATAACAAAATATTTGAAGAGATATAATTGTTTGTACATAATGAAACAGAAAACGTTATAAAAGTAAGTTTTAACGTTTGTGGCGAATTCTTTAAGGCTTTATGTTAAAATGCAGTCGAAGATAATCGAACACATTAATTACCCCTTTCCTTTGACAAGACAAATTTTCCTTGACACATTTTACTTTGTCTACCAATGGAATTGAGATAGTTTCCTAGATATATATCCGGGTGACATTTGTCCAAGTCACAGTGGACAACATTACGCCTATGTAAAATTGGCTATTTAACAATAACGACATTCCAAATAAATAGATTTTTATTTACTTACTTAAACCGAAATTTTGATATATGTGCATATATAAATGATAGTTATATCAAAATATTTTTCATGAATTTAAATATTTTTGAAGTTACACTTTTTTTTGGAAAATAATTGCGCTTGGAAACAAATATACGATGCGCGCATACACTCATCCTCATAAAGCGATAGGATGAAATTGGTTGCTTTCCACCAACCAATTTCATCCTGCTTGGTTGCCATGGCAACCAATATTTTTTTTTTGACCGTCTCCTATAATTCCAAGTTATTTAAATAAAAATATTTTCAATTATTTACAAAGATAAGTAGCATAAGGAATGTGTAAGAATGGCGAAATTTTCAAAATGACATAGAATGATTTTCGGTTCCAATTTGGTAATAAATAGGTACATGTATAATAAATTCAATTAGCAGTGATTAATTACAGCTAACAACATTTAATATCGTTTGTCAATACAGGATGTAAATTTCGTTTGTATCCGTTAAGCAACTGAAGCGTGATGGATTAAGAAATGCGAGGGAACCAGTTTTCTGATTCACGTACATGGAAAAATAATGCTTTGTTTGCAGGATATGGCGTGTAACTGTTTTGGCCTAATAACTGAATACATTATTTAATTGCACACTCATAATATTCCCCTCGTATATTTCGTACTATTATACATTACCATTTTAAATGTGTCACTAAACCAAATAATACAAAAGAGCTCACCTTAATTTAGTAAAATACATATCCAGGATATTATTGTCATTCACTAAATGCTCTATTTAATGTAATTATAATCATTGTTATAAAGTAAACGAGGACAATAACCTAGACCTCCTTAACTTCTCAAGGTCAACACAATTTGGATAAAGTATTTAATTCTTGAGCCCAAAAATGTTGAACATGAAATAGGTAACATTTTAATTAGGTTAATTGTATGCAATATTATGCGAGTGATAAAGCTCAACAACTGAAAAGAAGCAAAGGGGTCTTATAAAAGGTAAAACTAGTATATATTACACAATGTTCATTAAAAGTTATTTGGTTAACGAAATGTAATTGCCTGCAGCAACACACTTTTGCGTCACCCTCAATATTTATATAAAAAAAAGGATTTCACCTCTTTTGACCATGTAAATTCGCTTTTCTGTGATTAATACAGAACTTAATTTAAAGTGATTTGAATAAAGGTGATAATAAAAAAAGCAATCGTTACCATACTTGTTAATATTATGTTGTCTTAATGAAGGGTATCAAAAATTAGATAGACTCGTATTAAAAATTCTGTACCCTTCAATTATAAATACACCTGTTTTAAATTTTGAAGTTATTCGCGCCTTCTTTTGGCGCGTTAGGGAAAAATGATGAGTATCATTTTTTACGATGCTCGCGCACACCGTCACGAAAAACCGACACCCTGAAATTAGCTAGACATCTACGTATGTTTGTGTGAGAACTGACAACTTTGTTCACGACATTTATTTTGTGATATTTAAATAAAGTTTATTTAACTAGATAATGCGTTATAATAAAACTTTCAAAGTATTAAATACCCATTCTCTATTATTAGTGTCGTTTTTATTATTGAAGTTATACTTATTTTGACGCATTTGGTAAAATTATGAGACTAAAATTTATACAATGCGCGCGCATATTAACAGCCAAACAGCGATAATAAGTAAATAGAGTCGCTTTGCAACCAACTTCACCATGGCAACCAATAACAACATTTTGAGATTCACCTATAATTCAAAGTTATCTAATTAAACCGTTATCATTTAATATCTATTTCACAAAGACTGCTGGCACGGGGTATAAATTTTTTAGTTCTTTTCTTTTGTTACGTTAAAGAAGTATAACTTCTTAAGTGCGTACGTAAGTTACACACGTTTTTTTTTTAAATGATAAGTTTCCCCTATGTTCGTATCAAATAGAATGTATCATATACAATTTATCTTAAAAATATTAGAGAAGAAAAATCTTCAAAAACATAAATAAAAATACAGTTTAAAGCGAAATTCTGTAAACATATACGAACTCTTATAACGTTTGGAACTACATATTTCATTTTTTAGTTCCTTTTGAAACTACATATATTTTCCTACAAATTTTATTTATTTATTTATTTATTTATTTATTACACTTTCGCACACAACTATCATTACAGGCTGACCCAATGCGATAGTGTTGGCAAAAATTATGAAATGTTCTGGTTTAGTCACAATACTGGTTAGCTGCGGCACGTGGTAACTATTAAGTCAGTGGGTGCTATTGTTTCTTTTTTCTATACATCTATACAGATAAATAAAATTGGAGTGTCTTTTTGTAATATTAAAATAACCGCTTTTTACTAAATATATATGGATGTATACACGGTGCATATACCAAAATGACATTTTTTACAATTTATGTCTGTCTGTCTATTTGTTCCGGCTAATCTCTGAAATGGCTGGACCTATTTGGACGGGACTTTCACTGGCACATAGCTGGTGTAATAAGGAATGACTTAGGCTACTTTTATTTTAGAATTTTTTTATTTTAAATTCCACGCGCACGAAGTCGCTGGCACAGCTAGTATTAACTAAATATTTTGTCCCTGTGCGAATAAGATCATGTTCAAGACTCGAAACTCTTTTGTGTTAGTTCTCAATTCATGCGATACATATAATACTTATGGTAACATATGTTAGCTGAATTAGTTAGTGAAATATACTTTTGTAGTTGTTGCGATGCGATTTATTATTTTTTCCTAAAGAATGTTGAGTACTAATTACGATACTCTTCCAATAATTTTGGCAATGGACGCAATAAGTAAAAGTATTAAACAATAACCATACGAAACCGTTTTTACAACCTTAAGTTCCTTATTACGAAAAATTACGCATTTAATAAATGTTACGTTGTTGCTATTTCCATAAGATTTTAAGAGCGTAAGATTACTTGCGTCATATATGCATGTTGGTACTTTTGCTTCCTCATCGAGAAAGTGCACAGGTTGTTATACGTGTTTGGATAATATATTGTATAAAAGTTCGGCTAGATCATGCTTGAAATACTTATAAAAGTCGGACAACACACTATAATGACTCGAACCGAACACTCATCGATTACGGTCAAGGCATCGTTTCGTGCCATATGCATTAGTGATGATATCCCAAAAGATATTTTTGCGTAAATATTTTTTTATCTCACTAAAATTGGCAATAATAATATTTAATACCACAAAAATATGATATACCTATATGTATACTTGTGATTCCATAAAAATGTCAATGATGTTTTATAACACAATGACTGCATAATGTTTGATTACGTAGACATCTCAATGTGGCACATAAATTTACAATGAAACGGAGGTTGTCAAAGAAGATTAAACGTTTAATATAATTATGAAGTCAGCTATAGC